CAGTGTGTCATTAGGTCAGATGTTAACTTTTACGAGACAAAACAACACTTTCTTTTTCGTTTTAGGGAATTAAATCAATTTAACTTTCAAAGAGGCTCAGAGGAGGAAACTTTAATTTATTTGATGCATCTTTGTCTCCAGATTACATGATATTGACTTTTGCCAACAGACTCTATTTCACAATATGTAAGTAATGGATGTCTGGGATGACTGTCTACCTTGATGAGCCCTATTTGAACAATCAGTATTTGTAATGGATCGTGTGTGTGTGTGTGTGAGAGAGAGATCTATTTGATGAAATGTAAGGTTGTAGCATGGTTTTAACCTTGCAGTAGCATTATGCAACAAATCATTGGATTTTGTCTGTTTGTTGTGAGTGTGTTAACATCTTAAAGCTGTGTCCATTGATTTTTCCCGTCTTCTTTAAAAGTGTGTTGCAACTGAGAGTGCGGTTACTGCTGGAGTTTGTCCTCCAGATGTCTCTGTGAACTCCAGATGCTCTGAAACGCTGTCTCGTACAATCATCCTTCTTCATTCCCACTAACAATTAGGTAATGAAATATTGATTTTTAGTTAGATTCATATTGATGCTATTAGCTTTGCATTGATAAATCACTGATGCTGGAAGCCAGACCAGGAAGACATTACTGTGTGTTAATCTGATGGATATGCCTTCTTCTTCCTGCGTGTCCTTCTCCACCTGGACTGTCACACTTCATCTTTACAGCTCTTAAAGCAGCTTCATAACCATGCTCCTCAAACTTCTTTTTCTACCATCTTTAATGTCTTGAATTGAGGATACACTCCTTGATGACGATGGAAACTTTAAAAGCATTTTTAATACGAAACGTAATGTGAAAATAAACATCTCTTATTCATCTTATAGTTCCTGACATGACATTTTCCAAATATGTCTTCAAAAAAGTGAATGATTTCATATTGAGTTGTTGATTGTATTAAAAGGATCCTGTAGAATGTTATACAATACACTGGTTTAGTTAGGAATCACATCTTTGACCGTGGCAATTTCTATGGCATGCTCTAACAATCGACAAACAACATTTCCTGTCACCTACTGTGACTGCTGGGAAATCTCCTTATCACAGAGTCCACCTGTCAGAGGCGGCTCTCAGTATTTCAGCCTGCTGTCTAGTCATTACTGTCGCAGTGGGACATCGGCATCGAAAACTGAGACTGCAAAATATACTTAAACATGGAGAATCAACAACATGCACTGCTAAAGACTGGGTTCATTCTTTTATGAGTAAGGCAACATCAAGACTCAAACATAAACTGAATAAATAAACAGATTTATTATAAAAAATAATGTAAAAATACACATGTAGTATGTGTCATACTTGTCCAGTGTATTATTACAATGTCGCATTGATTTGGAGTCACTTATGCACATGACATTGAAGCTTTTGAAAAGAAATGGCAAAAAGCCAAATGATTAATAAAATAATCATATCAAATTATGAAAATCACTCAAGTCCAAAAAACAGAGGTCTATTCTACTTTTCAAGTGTTATGATAGGATGCTGCATTGATTTGTCCTACCTGTTCATCATATTATAAAAATGCAACTTTTAAAAGCCACATGCCAAACTCAATTTAATCAAACTATTCAACATCCAAGGACATTACAATTTATATTAATTAAAACTGCATTTTTTAAACCCCATGTTTACATCTTAATTGAATGTGTAAGTCTTTTGGAGAATGCTACATTTCTTTCAATTTGTTTTATTTTAAATGTTTGTCAAATTGATGGGATTCAGTCTTACGAAGTCAGACCTATATTTGTGATTTATGTTCTGAACCTTTCTTCTAACTTTAAACCACCCTGTTAAAAAAGTAAAGACCATGTCCCAAAATAAAGTCACTTTACATGATGTCTTCATTTGCAATGTCTAAAGCTCAGACTGACTCTCATAGTAGTACAGTAATACACAGCAGCCACACACACACACACACACACACACACACACACACACACACACACACACACACACACACACACAGTCTGTCCTGACAGCTGTCACTCCAATTGGCCACCAGTCCGTCTCTGCTCTCTGCTGAAGAAACAGTCAGGCGTTTTTCTGTCAGAGAACATATGCCGCTGCTCTCGTCCTGCTCCCAGCCTCCTGACAGGATCCACTCTCAGAGCCTGTGGCCGGCACCGACTCTGAGCCCTCCTGCTTGTGGCGCTGAGAACATGATCTCTGATGTCTCTCAGGCAGCTAACTGATGCTGTCACTGCACCGAGATATAACACGACCCTCTGACAAACACATTGTGACAAGGACATACAGACACACATGCGCTCAGCCACACAGAAACTCATGCCTCGTCGATGTGCCAGACAACAGTTGCTGCAAGTACAACCTTTTTCACAGAAGAAATGTTTTCCTCTGGGTTTTAAAACCAGTTATGGTCAGCTACACATGTTGACAGACACACATAAACTCAAATGCCTTTCTGCTAAAAGTGGACTTCGTATTCAGTTTCACAAAATGTAAGATTTACATGCAATGTGTGTGATAATGTTTCAGTCCGCATCATTAGACAATTTACTGTCTAATGATGGAGAAAAAAAGGCCTCATCCATAATTTGCCGCTTTGTGTTTTTGTGCCAATCTGTACACGGGGGCACCTTTTGAGGGAATCTCAGTGCAACATGTTAGAGGTTTGGTGTTTAAAAAGATTAGAATAATTACAGTATAATGTCCCGTGAAGAAGTCCTAAAGCCAGTAAAAGAAATCAAGAAGGGTCAGATTTTCAACAAAGCCGCTCCTCTATTTGTTGACATTGCCTACCATCTACTGGTAGAAGCTGTTTACTGCAGCAAAGGCATATTTTTTAATGATTGCAGATGACCCAATCATAGCAGAAGAATAACCAAAACAATAAAACTGATCACTTAAATGTCCAAATTCAGACATTTTAATTCCTAAAATGTAATGAGACTTTCCAGTCAGTGTAATTATTTCAATTGATATGCTGCAATTCACTGGAAGGTAGTCTTTAAAGATTAGTATTTAATTTAGTCACTTCTAAGTTAAACTCTGATGAAGTTTGTGAGAGGATATAAGATATACTGATGCAGCATTTATAAGCACATTGTGTTGTGATGGTCAGTAGTACAAAGTGATAAAAAAGAGGGCACATGGTAAAAGATTAGCATAATAATAATCATAATAACAACAGCACTATTATAATATAAATCTACATTGACCAACTTTATTTGTATATTCGAACAGTCAGACAAAATGTGGAACTGGTGAAAATAGAGATTCTGATACCAACATAATTAACTATGAAACATGTTTACATACTGTAGTCACAAATTAACTAGCTCAAATGTAGGCTGTAGGTTTGCATCAAAGTTCAGGCTTGCATAAAAAAACGCTCACTGAACATCGCTCAACAACGCCTCCTGTTGGAGCGTCACTCCTCACTCACCTCAAGTGCGTCAAGGAATTATTCAAACTTTTTCTTTTTTCATTTTCTCTTGTTACTACAAATATGAAGTACTTCGGAGTGATAAAAGTCCACTCTTAGCCAACAAAAACACCATTAAATAAAACGATAATTTACAACATCCATCAAAAAACAGTTTTCCACACAGATCAAAGTCAATAATAAATTATGTATTCTCAAGATCTCCCAAGAATCCATAAATTAATGGCTTTTTGTTTCAAATGCATAGACTATTTCTCCATGTGAGATGAATACACTGACTCAAACTAAAATATGAACATACTAAACATATCTGCAAACAAAACACAAGAAAACTATTTTGAGAATGAGGTGAAGTTCAAAATGTGTTTCAGTCTCTTCAGTAGTTCGACTGGCAGATGTAACTCTGCCAGTTCCTACTTCTAAAAATCACAGCATTAAATTGCTACATCACGAGCACAATGTGAAACAAGTGCAGATGTTAACACTATCTTCCCGATAGGAGGAACAAAAAGGACAAATTTAAAGCCTGTAAAAATGTCAAACTAAGAATCAGAAAGCAGGACACCACATGTCATTGTTCATCTGCACTATTGTCATTTAAAGTTTGACAGAAATGTTACGACGATGGTTTCAATTGTGTTGTATTACTCTGTTTTTTTCACATTCATTGAAATTGATCGTTCTGCATCTGAGGCTTGATATTAGCTATGGGTTTGCTATGAATTTGATATATGTTGGTTGATATCAGCCGTGATGTCTGGAAGGAGTCAACACTAACCTAGTTCTTGATGTTTTGTTAAGCGTTATAATCTGCCTCTGTTGACTGGTTACCTTGGTCACTCATTGTGTGTGGGGTGTTGAGCTAATGATGCTGAAGCTTGATTTAGCTCTAATAAAAGCACCAAATAGTGCCTTACAGTGGGATAATGACTTTACCAGCAATATACCTGTCATAGCATATTGATGCTTGGCAACTGTCTACTCTCAGATCAGGAAGTGAATAAGGGATTGAAGAAATTACATAAATTGCTAATTATATGTACGTGCCCCGCTCTATATCCTGAATGTTGAGACAGTTCTAACTCTAAACCAAAAACGGACATTTTACAGACTCCTTTTTAAAAAAACAACTGAAACATATAAAGAGAGGTAAAAGTGATGTGCAGTCAAGTGTCCAGGTCACAGCTCACATGTTTTAAAGTACTTTTGAATGTTATAGTGTAACCCTGGTATTTAACATTTGGTGTTTTCATTGTTTTTACTCAAACCCAGCCGATATCTGTGGTTCTTTAGCCAATAGAATGTCCTCTTTACCTTTTTTAGGAAGTGCTTATTTTACAAAAAGCTCTAACAGTTTTACCTCATTTTCATCGAACATATCTTCATGTTTGTTTTGGTAACTAACATATATACACTCTTAAGAAAGAAAAGAAACATGCGTAACACTTCAAATTGAAAGAACCGTATTACAAAATGATAGTCCACTTCAATGTTTTGCATATATTGTGCATTATCCAGTGCCTCTGTCCTTTTAGGAGTTATGGCTGGTTCCTCTAAAGACAGCAGGCCTCTTTGTTCAGCAGCATCGTGCGGGCTGGGAGCCGACGGGAACACGATGGATCCTCACGTTCCTTTATGGAGAGACCCTGAGGAGGAAGTGGAGCGGCTGTTCACCTGCAGGGAGACAAATGGGAGACACACCGGTAAGATTGTATCTAACAACACTGAGAGGCTGTGTGTGTAAATAATGTATATGTATAATGAACTAGCAGTACATAACCAAAAGCAACTGCATGTATTTTCAAGAGGAGCTATCAGTTTAGATCAATTCCATATATTGCAAGTAGTTATAAGGATTTTTATTTCTTAAAAATGTATATCCATCAGGTTTAGGATTACACAATTAATTTCTATTTTCACACCATATTCAAAGTAATGTTCAATACATGCTTAAAAAATGCCATTTATGATGACAAAATCACAATCAATAGCGGTCTTTTAAGATCTGCAACACTGGCTAACTGTTTTATTCAGTGTAAAAAGAATGATGACACCCACTCAATTAAACAACTAATCATAATATATGGTGAGTTCCATTGGATTTGTTGTCCATTTAGTCTAAATATCCTTTACAAAATACCGCATAAATAACCAGTTTGGTACAACTCTACACTTGATAATAAAATGTCTGATATGGTGTTGTTGAATGCAGGCCATGTCACACCATGCTATGATATCTCATGCAGTAGCTCCTGTATTGGTTGACCTACAAGGTGTCAGTGATGTGAAGCTGCATGTTGTGGAATATGCACAATAATGAACAAGGTGAAGTCTTCGCAAAGAAATATAAAAAAACGAAATAAATAAAACAGTCTCTCGTGACTTTTAGTTATTTCAGCTGTATGTTGTGGAATATGCACAATTTCTTAAAGAAACTAAATAAATAAAACAGTATCTCATAACTTTTAGTTATAATACTGCCCTCATAGTGTTATCCATATTAAATAATCTGATTTGTAATTCCTCAACCCTGAAGAGTGAGCTACCGCCCGTCTCTGATGTTTATAAGTTGCCCACATTGTACTCTAGGGAGAAGAGGAGAGTAAGAATGGTTGTAGGTAGCATCAGGGTGGGCCTGAGTGACAGGCTGATGACACAACATATGGAGATGCTGGGTGAGTTTCATCCTGAGGGGGACAACATTTTTTATTCTTTATTTGTTGCCTCATCCCTGTCAGCCTCTCTTATGGAAACGAACAAGAAGAGACAGCCAGGTTGGGGAAGTTGACAACCACGCAAGCGAAACAAATATTAAATACACGGAGACACACGTGTGCCTGGAAGTGACGGAGTGTATTCAGACTCAGACGAGGGGCCGACAACTGGCACACACACTGGGTGAGGCTTTACTGTACATACTTGTTAGAGAGAGAAGGACTAATGACTTTAAAAAATCTAAGTGTGTGTTTTCTTTTTTTAAGTCAATGCTTTATTATGAACACTCAAAATAAAATTCCATGAAGAATAAAAAAAACGTTTGGGTTAAATGTAAAAATAAAATGTGGTGTATGCTGCCAATCAGTTAGAACAATTGGCAGGTTAGACTTTTAAGAAGATATCGGAACAATAAAGACAGTTTATCTGCTTATTTATAGTCTAAAAGATTAGGAAACAATTTCTTTCAAAACTCCATTATCAGTGGCCGCTGCAAAGACAACTTACTTGTTTGGGAGCTTCAGATGCGGAGTGGACTTCTTTTCCATAATTCCCATTTAACTGCAACATTGCTTTAAAAAATAGAAGTATAGAAGAGTATGTAAACATAAAAAGCCCGGTAATGTCTCTTTACAGCTTGATAAATATATATATTCAGGTATTCATTTGCCCATTTACAGTAAATTCAAAACAAAACATGGCTTCTCTTACCTTGTGGATCAATCCTGGGGTCAACAAACCCCCAGTGCTGGTAGAGAGCAGCCAGGTCGTGGGGACTGTAGTTTTTCAGGAGACTCAAAATATCAATGTCCATTGGCCTTTCCCCTGTTGATTCATTCTTTACCTGAGCATAACGGAGAGGTTCTAAATAAGCTTTGTTACCCCACATGTTCATGGCAGCCCACAGATCAGGACCCTTTGGACCTGAAGACGAGTCACATGACTGCCTGCGAGGAAGGGGTCTTTCTGCAGTGGATGAATTCCCGCCATGATTTCTGGCCAACATGAAACCCAGACCCTCCTGTGGGAAGTTTCCTTCCACTGCCTCTCTGTGGCTTCCGTGTTTGGGGCTGCTGGTCGGATGGACACTTGTGGCGCTCTTTACAGTACTGCTAGATGAAGTAGCTTGGCTGCTGGAGCTCTTACTTCCCCCCTTCTCTGCCCGCTTATGTTCACCTGACTTCTTTTGAGGTAAGAGTCCTGCCCTCCCACTAGGCTGTGTCCCATTTGCAGAGTCCTTAGACTGATGCTTGGACTTTGGGACGCCTGATTGGGTTTTGGGTGCTGAGTGCTTGCTGCTGCTGCTGCTGCTACTGCTGCTGCTGCTATTGGCTGTCAAACCTGGAGCTTGTGTGCGCTGAGTTCTTGGAGCAGGTAAAGCAGGACAGTCCTTGCCTTCGAGGAACGGTGGAGCCCCTGTGCGTCTCCACTGGGAAGTGCCTGCCTTCAAACTCTTGGGGATGTTACTGCAGGGAGCCCACTTGGGTGCCATGGAGCTGCTGTTATCCACCCTGTGTGCGACTCGCTGGTGGATCCACAGGACTTCTGGGTAATTGGTGGTGTGGGAGCAGTACGGGCACTGATGTCTCACCAGGCCCTCCGTTTTTATCGGATAATCTACGATGCCACCCCCTTCACTTATGGGTAATGAAGACAGATTAAGGAGACTTCCAGCATCATTAGAGGCATGTCCCTTTCCTTTGACTATAGTACTGTTTGACTTTTCTGTTTTAATATTGGACTCTGCTGACAACGGGGTGGGCGGACATGTATAAGGATTCCAGTATGGCTGACTGAGCAGCACACTCCTGTTTCTGAGGTAGTCCATGTATCTTGAGGCTTTGGAACCACTCTGGGTAACGTTGTCCAAAATGGTGCTGTGTTTGCTGTAGGGACCCGGGAAGTCCTGGTGCTGCATGTGCACGTGAGACCTGAGTAGTGAGGTGTCGGCAGTGTGGAAATCACAGTGCTCGCAGAAGTATGTCTTCTTATCTGTAGGAGAGAGCAGAGGAAACAATGTAAAGGACATAAGTAGAAATGAAGTGTGTTAAGTATTTATACAACATGGAGTCTAGCAGCTATTTAATTAGCAAGAAAAGCACTGTCAAAAGTAGAAACCATACTAAGTTACATGATAGTATAAACCTCTGTAAGTATAAATCTTTGTTTCAATGCTGACACTGATGTTAGCTCTACATTGTGGTGGCACTTTTGGACACATTTTAATACATCTTTGACAAATATGTAGACGTCTGGGTTGTCTTATGAAGGAATGAATATGTTACATTCTTTAAAGATTATCAAGTTAATTTCACTAACACTCTGGGCGATTGTTAGCTAAATATATTATATTATCTTGTGCTACACGTTGGGCAACAGCTAAGGGACTCTTCCGTCTAAGTAGCAGTTTTAAATATAATTTTTAAAAAGCAGATGTTACTTCAACCACAACAACGTTTTCTTCATCAGTTTTAAAGAGACAGATTTTTAGTCTCCAAGTTTAAAGGGTTTCTCTTGTGAAAAAGGCCCCTGCTCTCTCAGAACAGCTGTTTTGAGTGTTATATCATATTGTTGTGTTTTCATGAATTATAGCCAACATAATGTTCCCTTTTGCATTAAGACACTTTTGAATGAAACATATTACTTCTCTTAAATAACCCTCACACGTTTAGGTGAGGAAACATAATGGGTGTGGATTTGCAAAAACCTTTTGTACAAAAAATGCAATTAGTGTTGCTGTAATTCAATAATAAATTCACTAGGTGTCCCCCTTTGCCACAGCACAACAACATGGATTCCACATGGTAGGTTACTTACACCCCTAGTGTTAGCTTTATTTGCATGTCCACAAACATAACCCTTGATACCTTAATTTAAACAAAGAGGGAGCAACCTTCAATACAAAGCAACTGCCCTCAGCACTAACTGGGCCTTGTGATTGATTACCATTTTCAAGGATATTGACCTTCTGTCTTGTTGCACATTGCAGTGTTGTGTACATGGCTTACCCTCATGGTCTTGGCTCCTGTTGGTCTGTTTATGTGTGAGGTGAACATCTTTTACTTTCTTAGTCTGCAGCGCCTCGTAAAACGCGTGACCCAGTCCGTTCAACAGAATACGGTCTTTCTGCAAAATCCTCTTGTCACCACCTTTAGTGTGAGCCAAGCTGTTTGATGTGTGATCAAGGCCTGTCTCACCCTTTATCTTCTTCGTGTTGGTGCTGGAGTTGTCGATTTGCTTCCTCTTCTTCTCTTGTTTCCGTGGTACATACTCTCCTTTTTCTGTGTCATACGCCACCTCAGCATCTGCAAGCCTCTCCTGCCATCCCAGAGATTTATCCGTGGACTCCACTAGTCGTCCCCTTGTGGCCAACTGCCACGCTTGGTAACTACAAACTGGATCCAGCTCAGGAAGTCGACTGCCCAGGCTCTTTTCCTCAGACGTTTCCTTTGGTCCTGCACATGTGAGGTTCAGGCTTTCCATAAAATGCCTCTTAGCAGTGTCCGGCTCAGAGGTTTCAACTTCTTCCTGTGGAGGATTTTGTGTCAGGGAGCGGATGTGGTTCGGCTTATGTAGCTTTTCATGTATTCTTAATGTCTTGCGGTCAAAGAAGAAGTTACCACAGCCTGCACAGAGCTCATAGAGGCACTCTTCATTTGTCAGCGATGCTAGGTCCTGAGGAACTCCATTGATGGTGGCAGGCAGCTCGTTACTTTTCCCGCCACTTAGCTGGGCTTTGACCCGGTGAATGCGCATGTGACTTTGGAGGAACCATGCTTGGCGGAAACGGCGTCCACAAATCCGGCAACCGTGATCCTGAGCGCTGCGGTGCCTTTTCATGTGGGATTTGAGGAGGAGTATCTGAGGGAAGGTCTGGCCACAGATGGTGCAGGTACAGGACCCGTCATCATCTCCATCACCGACCTCAACGCCAGTCTTAGCCTTGACTTTTTTCTTGGTTCCTTTCTTCTTTACTTTCCCATTGACATTGTGAGCTTTGTCTGATGTGCTGATAATCTCAGGAGGATCAGGTGTCTCGGCGTTCACTTCCTGATCTCCACCCCCCTCTTTTTCAACAGTGAGTTTATGGCTGAACAGGCCAAGTTTATGGCTTCGAATGTGGGCCTTCAGGCTGCCCTTCTGAGCCGTCTTGTGCTCACAGTAGGGACACTTGTACGGCTTCTCCCGTGTGTGTCTTCTCATGTGCTGCGACAGAGAGCTGAGAAGAGGAAAGCTGCGTCCACACACCCCACAGGTGTGGCCAGAGGGCACATCCTCCTCCGCCTTGGCCTTTTTATTCACTGTGGGTTTTTGTGAAACATCCTCCCTTTCTTCTGTCTCCATTACTTTTCCTGGAGTATCCATATGTCAAAAACAACAGCTGTGTAATAAAATCCTCTATCTATTCAAAGTGTATCTTCCAAATGTTAGCAAGTTCTCAGAATAGGCATCCCAGCTTTAGTATCCATCCTGATTTTTGAAGAGCTGTTCTTTTCCAAGTTGCATACTGTTATGGCAGTTTACCTAAGAGAAAAAGAAAAACATATTTATATTAGGTTTAAATTAGGCAATTGCACTTAAGATCAAAATGTACACATGACATTAAAAAGGTTAGTCAAATGTTATCAACATATACAATGTGTTTATATATTATTATTATCTTAAAGAGAAGTGGACGATTACATGGACAGGCCTAATTGCTTTAGATTAATACAATTTGCCAAAAAAATGAAATTACTAAAACTCTTTATATATGAGAAGTTATAAGAAGAGATAAGACGTACTTGTATCCACTTTTCTTGGGCTTGGTATAACCACATTACAAAGAATCTGTTCAGTTGTGTTTAGCACTTACATTTAATACATCATACAGAAAAATACAGAAAATCAATTAAAAGGAAATGTTCAGCCATAAACCCTGAATGCAACACAGACTTATGGAATTAAGGATGGATTAAAATGTTAAGTTATTCCAGAAATAGTTTTGTAGGTCAAAAATGAATGTAATATTTAAATCTTTCGATTGTAATCATTTGGCCTTAAACACAAAATGCAGTTATTAAAATCAAATAACTGCCGGAAGATTGGTAAAAATGTTCTGACAAACTAAATAATTTGTTGTTTTCCTCTGCTCAGGTGCACAGAGATGGAAAGAGACACTGGTTTAACAATGAAAGACACTATATGTTAAGGTAGTTTCACTCAGTATGTGTGAACTGAGAGCGAGGCCACTGAGGCAATTTGCATCACACAGATTTTAGAACAACCTTTGTCCCTCAGTGGATGAGCGACGCCTGTCTCTGCATATTAGAGCGCGGGTCAGTGTCTCAACATGCGTGTGTGTCGGCCCTTTGGTTTCCTATGCCTAAATTGAGTGTGTGACGTGAAGCATGAAGAGATGTATTCATTCCTGGCCAACCAGGACGAACCCCTGAGGGTACAGTCCACTCTAATTCACGATCAATAATCCATTATCAACAAACTTCATTTTAGAAGCTCACATACAGAAACATGCAGCACTGATTCTGGAGTTAGTGCTTACATAAGACTTTAGCTAGGTAACAAGGTATTTCCCTAGATAATTCTGTGTTTAATGACTAAATAAACTTGATGTGAGCACTAATTGTGATCACAATGTGCCTTTATCTTTATATTACTATAGTACTGAGACATCTAATAAACCAGAACAAAATGGTACTGGAACAGCACATTTGTTGGTCTGAAAAACGAGTACATGGCCCAGGCAGCGTCTGATGTGCTTAAACGTGGTTCTTCTGCAAACATGACTATTAGGTTGGTTGTTAATAGTGAAAAAAGGGACTTGGTGGCATATAGCCAGCAACAAAAACCTGCTATTGTGTCTGCCGCACCAGAACTGTCACATCGCCTCATGTCTGGCCCTCCACCCCTCATTGGGGGGTCGAGAGAGTTATTGTTAAAGCAAAGAGGCCTGGGCCTGCACATCACTGTCTTCAAATTCTTGTCTAGGCAAAGAGGCAGGACAAAAGGCGACTCTTGTTTGTCTTGTCAGTCTCTGAGTGTGAAGGGGAAAAACTAGGTGCACATAACGCATAATGGCCAAAGAGATGGAGACTCAGGTCATGATTTTCCGGGGATGAGGTTGTCTGTCTAATTATCTGTATGTGCAACCACGGTCGCATCTGTCTGCATGCATGCCTGCCTGCCTGCCTGCGGTCATGTGTGCTGATCCGCTCACGCTGGAATGGGTGTTGTATCGGGAGTATGGGCGGAGTTTAGGAGGTTTTTACGAACATGGCAGGTGTTTTGTAGGCAGACGCCATCAGATTAGTGCACGGGCAATGTGGCACACTGTCTCCAAGAGGGGGAGGACGTGCAACGAAAACTGGAGGGTGGCAATTAAGGGGTTAAGGTTAAGGCGAATGTAATGAGGTACCACAATGGGGATGAAGTCAGAGAGCTGAGGGCAACAGATGGGAATAAACGGGCCATCAGTGTGGAGTTAGCCGCCTCTACAGTATGAGCTTATGCCTTTGTCAAAGCAGCCTACATGCTTAGTGTGTGCTACTTATTTTCATCTGCAGAATCCTACTTTTGCTCAAAGAAAATGCAATTATGTAGAGTTTGTGTTTAACATGAATTTGTTAACTGCCTTTCAAACAACAAAAATCAATCGTATAGAATAATTTGAACCGGCCTATTTTCCTTTTTCCCCTCCCCTCTCTGTACATCACTCTGTTTTCTACCTTTATTGCTTTCATCGCAGAACCACTAAAAGCCCTTTGGAGGATCTGTTAAGTAATGCAGATAGCCAAACATGTTGCTCCAGGGGCTTAACTCATTTCTTTTAGAATCCCTCGCTCCCTTTTTCTCTCTCTTTTCTTTGGCAGATGAATAGGCATGTCCAGTCAGCTGTCCTCGCATTGATTCATCCTGACGTCCCGACCAGCTCAGCACAAACTCCCTATGGTCAGGGCACTGATGCTGAGAGCCTGTGTGCTGTGATGTGTGTGTGTGTGTGTTTGAAAATATCCACTGTCAGTGTGTCGCTTGTGTGTGCACTGCCTGTTTGCCTGGTTGTTGCACTAAAACTGTGGGTGTAATTTCCTGCCAGGATCTGAAAATAGCATTTTCCCTGAATTGACTTTGCTGCAAACCAAAATGCCTCAAATACCTTATTTTTGTAAGAAAGGTCCACTAATGGCTGATATCTGCTAAATCTGGGCAACTATAGACTGATAGAAGCAGGTATGTGTGAACCCCATGACTGTGCATGCATGTTTATGTGCCTGTGTGTGTTTCTGTTTGTGTGTGTGTGCTGAAGTCATCCAAATATTCTCTACAACCAGCAACAAGCCTGTGCCAACATACCCCTGACTGGAGATAGCATGTGACTGTCCTTATGCTAGTGTTCAAAGCCATAGTTACTCGCTAAGCCTCAGCTCGCATCTACCGTTTTGTGTCCAATAATCCTGTCGGTTTTCATCAACTGCAATCACAACTAAGCATAAAAACACAATTATTACACAACTGAGATTGTTTCTTTGTTATAAATGTTGACTTATCAAGAGGATGAACACTTGTCACAGAGAGGGAGATGTTTCTCCCTTTATCTTTAAGTACTTTTAGCTTTCCTAAACGTGCTGTTTGCACGTGATCGTGTACAAGATTCAATTACAAAAACAAAGTCATGTTCCTATACGGTGTGCACCCAAAAATAGATATTGCATACTAAAGGCAACCTCACTGCTGAAGAAGCTATATTCTAGTGGATCATGTTACCATTACAATGTATAGGTTCAGTTTTCTGAAACAGCTGTCATTGCAATTGTCGACTTCTAGTTTGCAAATTAAACTATACTGTAAACAAAGGACCAATAACACCTGGCAACCTTCAAAAGAGTGCATAGAATGTTTAAGACATGCAGGTCCATTCCTAAAAATAAAGTACAAGACCCAACAGTCAGCCATATTGAACACCTGAACAAAATAATTCTCATGCGAAGGAGAACAATGTTCCTTAACGTTTTACTTGTCTTTAAGAGCAAGTATGCAGAAAAGTAATCTCTGCTGACTTACTGCTTATGCAATTGAATATGTCTCCTTCCAGATGTAGGGGAGTCGAAACACATGCCCAGGTGCAGATGACATGTTTAATAACTATCAACCACACGTTAGCATGCTCAAAATTCACGTCTGTATGCAAACTAGCTTCTTTTTAGGTTCCGAAAAATAACATCTATGACCACACTGTGAAGGCATCACAGGATAAACATTATTTATCTAATGTAAGACACAATGTTCTGTGTTGTACATGTTGACAGTGTGATGAGCACAATACAATTTGACTGACACTTGCAAATAATCCTCAGCACAGCCTGGTACCAACGATTAATTTAGACATTCGAGACCGACACAGTTCCTCGAATGAGTAAATTGTCTGAATCAACACGTTAGTGTGTGCAAACAGCCTAATGTACCTAACAGATTAGATATCCATGAGCTCAACAGTCACAAGCACGGACAAACTTGCGCACATCGGTGCCCATCCCCCTCCTTGTCCAACTCAGCACTCGGTTACACAACATATACAGGGATTACTCTTCATAGCATGAGATGAGCTGCTCAATGAGTGGCCTTTTATCATGGATGCCCCTTAGTGCTATTAAGCACACACAGGGAAGGAGGCTGACAAAGAGATGAGAGATTCTGAGCAGAGATTTTACCTGTTGTGGACATTTGAATAGTTACTCTAAAAAAAAATACACTAGATATGTCATGCTGGCCCAAATGCAGACATCAAACTGAACAATGCGACTGAAAGCAGAGAGGAAAAGATGGAAGAGATTTCTGGGGACATTTTAGGAAGGCTCTTTTAATTTTGGCTTCTATTATTGATGTTAATTTATCTGCTATGAGAATCCACTATGGGCCTACTCTCTTTTCAGTGTGGATTGGCTAGTGTGGGAGACACTGGAGTGTAATCTGCTGGCATTAACTTGCTCTCTAAAAAAAGCACTCTCGACAGGGATTAGATTATCATGGCAAGGTCAGCTCAGACTCGCTCTGAATGTCTCCCTTTATGTTTCTCTATCACTTCCTATCTTTCACTTGATCATTTCTTCTCTCATCCTTGGTTCTATCTAATATCTCTGTTAGGTTTGGTTATTAACACTGCAATTAATTTCAATAAGCACTTAAGTATAGATCATGCTGCCAACGCAAAAGAAAACATAACAGATTAACACAGATTAAATTCACAGGACGTTGTGACAGTGCCCTCCTCCAAAGCCTGACACAGAAAACTAAAACTTCAAATAGAAGCACAATGTTCTTTAGAGAAAAGTACGATTAGAGTAATAAACAATCGTGCTCTTGTGGTTTGA